CCTACTGGGGAGAGTCAGGTTTCTGTGAGTACACGAGAAAAAGGTCTAAGATAAGAGGCTGTTTTTAAGTGATGGAAAGATAGCTCACCTAGCTACCCTCCCCAGCAAGGCCATGACTGGTACATTAGTGTCTGTGATGGGCCTGACTCCCAGGTCTAGCTAGAATTCCACATGGCACCACGTTGCCTCATGTGAAGGCCTCCTTTGTTTCCACTTAATCATAGGCATCCCTGAAGGCCCCAACCATGGCTCCCTTCTCTTCATACACTCTAACCATTGGCCACTGTGGCCACTTCAATGTCTCTCATTATCTTTTTTTTTTCCTTTTACATATTGTTATTTCTTAATGCTAGAAAATTTCCCTGCCCCCATAAATGTCTTTTTAATGTATTAGCAATGGAGCCTCAGTAGATGGCAACACATGGATGAATAATTTTCAAACATCGGTAGGGTTAAAGTTGCCAAGTTTGCCAGGGCAAAGAAGGGGGAGGAAGCCCAGATTTTTCAATTCACCACTATGCAGATGGCAAGAGCGCTAGCTCTGGATCTGAAGTTTGCTATCCCACAAACCACATCCTTGTCTGCACCTCAGTTTCTTCCTCTCTAAAATTTATTTTACAGTTGGTCCCTTTCAGCCCTAACTCCATTGTTAATACTAAGATTTGCAACTTGACTGCCTGATACATTAAAAGATAAATATTTACAAGGATAGGGGAATTTTCTGACACCAAAAAAAAAACCCCAATGTATAAAAGGCAAAAAAAAAATAGATAATGGAAGGAAAGAAGTGGTCATAATTGTCAGTGGTTAGAGCTTATGGAGACAGACTTAGGAAGATAGCAGACAGTCATGAGTCTGGCAGAAGAGCTGGCAGGCCAGTTTAGCTGGAATGCAGTTGGAATACAGAAGGGAGTGATAACTCGGGTAAGAGGCCAGTTCCTAGCAAAGTTTTTCTCCAAAGTCCACCTGGATGCCCCAATACTTCAAACCCTACCTGGTCAAAACTAACCTCAACATATTCCTTCTGTCTCCCTGCTCCTGGTTCTCAGTACCTTTTCAAGCTCAGTTGTTTCTAACTAGGCAGCCTGGCTCTTTCTTCTCCACTCTGCCACAGGGTACAGGCATCCTAGCTCTGAGCCTCCTTATCCTATTGATTTGTGAGCAATTTTATCTTATCTCTCAAAATTCTCTGAGGTCAGGGATTGGTTTTTTTTTCCCTGTGAGTATATCTTATCCCCCTAAATTCCCTAAACCAGTATCTTTTAAAAATTCATTTGTTGCATAGCTAGGGTCCAGCACGGAGCTGAATGGCTTAATACATTGTTTACTGAGAATGACAAAGTATAATGGTGTCCGGCAGAGTTTGTGCCAGTGTTGGGGGGAGGGGGTAGCCGGGGTGGATCAGAGTGTGTATGGAGAGGGCAGTGCAAGGGCAGGATAGTGGGGGAAGGGGACGAGACTGTGCCTGGGGGTGGGGGTGGAGTGTGGAGTGAGATGTGTCCCAGTAGAAGGCTTGGGAAGCTACCACCTGAGCTCAGGGAGTAAAGAGGGCGGCAATCATGCCCTCGGCAGAACGACACCCTAGAGAGGCTCCCCGGGTGTCCTACCTGCCCCAAGTTGACAAAACCGAACTTGCGGGCCAAGCGCTCGGCCTCCTGGCTGCCCCCAGGTAGCAGCACAGCCCAACTGCTGACATAGATGGGGACGAAGAAGTGGCCCCGGCGACCCCGGCCCGTCCCCGGTTCCTGTCTGGACCCCTCTAGGGAGATGGACATTAGAACCAGGGTTAAGAGCAGGGCAAAGACCAAGGTCAGGGCCAGGGTCAGAACGAACCTCAGCTGGGTCCAGCCGGGCCGCATGGTAGCCTGGGGCCGGGGTAAAGCCCCTCCCACCGGACAAACTGCCTCTCGGGCTCCAGGGGCGGTGTTTAAATGCTCCCTCTCCCCGCCGCCACCCCAGGCAGGAACGGAGCAGCCCCGCCCCCTGGGCGCCAGAGCGAAGCAACCTCCGCCCCCTGGACGCCTCTTTCCAGCTCCATGGCAACCCCTTTGCCCCCGCCCCCCCGGGTGGGGCTTCATTCCCAGGGGGCTGTGCGGCCGCCGAACTACTGCCTAGGAGTGGAGTGGTCGAGGGGGCGGGAAAATGGAGCTTTGCGCCCTGGGGGGTCGGGGAAGACTGCCGGGAGGAGGGGATGCCCCAGGTGAGTGGGAACGGGATATAAGACCTTCTTTTCTCTAGTTCCTCTAAGTCTACCGTTCCTCTCCCATGCTCATTCTGAAACTTGAAAACCGGGTTCGAGTTCTGGTTTTGCCAGTCTCGCTGTGTGATCTTGGGCCAGTCATTCCCCGCTTTTGATTCTCCGTTGCCTTCTACTGTGTGATGAGAGGGTTCCTCACCCCTGCACTGGATTGTGATCCCTAAGCCCGAAAAGGTCTTTCTAGCTGGCATTTAATTAGTGGCAAAGAGGGTGGCCTGAGCCTCGTTGCGGGCTTCCTCGGATTTAAGTTGATTCAGCCGCTGAGTAGCAACTGCTCGAGTTTTTATTATACTTTACAGTACCCATGGATACTATGCAGTATACATGCAAATACTGAAAACCCCATTTTAAAGAGTGACAAACTGAGACACCGAGAAGGAAACTGAAGTGACCAAGCCCAAAGTCACACTGCTTTGCTAGTTCATCAGTCTCCATAAACCTGCGCCAGATATTGTGTGCTAAGCACTGGCGTGATAAAGGCAAATGACAGTCTGTTCTCCAAAGGCTCACATTCTAATGAGGGAAACACCACGAAAACAGCTTCGTACAAACAAGCTGGATTCAGGATAAGTCGGAGGTAATCGACAAAGGGAAAGCACTAGAATTTAGAGCGATGCGGAAAGCTTCCTGTAAGCAGCGGGATTTTTAGCAAGAGACAGCTGGCATTTGACTGCCCCGCTCTAATAGGTCCATCTGATCATTTGCCAAATTCTGTGCATTCTTCTCCTCCATCCCTGTCTTCATCATGGCCCTGATTCGGACCACTGTGTGGTCCAGCTGAACTGCCCTATTTGCTTGTTAACTTCTCGTACAGTCTTTTGCTTTGGCGGTTGTACAGGCTGTCTTCCTAAGCCTCGAACGCCCTCCCTCCTAAGCTCACCCTCTTGGTCACCTCAAGTGCTTCCTCCAAGCTGAGGTATTTCCAGATCCACCCCCCCCCCGGAACTAGGGTTCCTCTCCTACCCCATAATGTTGGATTTATAATGTATATATTTTGTATATATTTTCATTTGTGTCTTTATGTCCCTAGCATAGTGCCTGGCATATAGTAGATGTTTAATAAATGTTTATAATTGATTGATCTCTTCTAACGTCTTAATTGATCTCCCTGCCCTCCCTCCAATTTATTTTTTACACCAAACTCAAGATAATCCATCTATCTAGAGTCCAAATTTGACTAAGTCATTCCCCTGCTAAAAATAATTTTCAGGGGGCAGTTAGGTGGCTCGGTGGATTGAGCATTGGTCTTGAAGTCAGGAGGACCCGTGTTCAAATGCAGCCTTAGACACTTACTAGCAGTGTGACCCTGAGCAAGTCACTTAACTCCATTGCCTAAAAAAAAAAACCCAAAAAACTTTCAGTGGCTCCCTGTTGCCTAACATACAAATTCCTCACTCTCCACAATCTGCCTCTAACCTACCTTTCCACATTCATTTTACATTCTATTATTCCTCTTTAGGTGCTCTACATTCCAGCTAAACTGTACTGTTGCTTCCCCAAGCCCAAAGAGCTACCATCTCTCTGGGCTAGCTCAAATCCCTCCCATTCCCCTCCCCCATAGCTGGAATGCATTTCCTCTCCATCTCTGCTTCTCAGAATTTTTGCTTTTCTTTAACGAAGGGCTAGGTTTAGCTTCCAAGCTTTCCAGGCAAGCTTCCCACTGAATTTTACTCCCCGTTAAAATAGGGCACCACTCCCTTTCTTGTATTATTTTTATAATAACGATGATAAAAGGTAATATTTATTACATAGTGCTTTAAAGTTGGGAAGAGGCTTTGCCTGTATTATCTCATTTGGTCTTCATAACAACCCTATGAACTAGTTCTATTATCCAAATTTTACAGATGAAGAGACAGACTGAGGGAAGTTAAGTGACTTGCCCAGGGTCAGACAGCTGGTTAGTGGACCTGTATCTTCTACTGCTTTAGAACACAAGCTCCTTTGTGGGCAGGAATTGTGTACTTTTTATGTCTGGCCTCCAGAACTGAGCACTGTGCCATACACAGAAGCACTTAATATTTGTTGAATGAATGAATGAATGAACTAGGTTTTTTGAGTCCAAATTCATGGCTCTTTCCACTACATCACATTGCATCGAAACATTTATTTTGAGCTCCTACTGCATGCAGAATACTAAATGAGACTTCTTCATGGATCTCAGAGGGAGGAAAAATTTGGAATGTAAAATGCACTGGGGAGGGGAAGCATGAAACTGACTGGCAGAGGTACTTCTGCCTGAGGTGTGCGACAAGAAGTGAGTTTAGAGGCCCAAGGATTAGTTAGGAAGAAGGGGGAGAGGGAAGGGAGAGGTGGAGAGGAGCCTAGACTGGCCGGGGTCTGGGGGTGGGAGGGACGTTAACTCGCGTAGGAGACCTGGCAGGTGTGGGCCTTCAGGGGCTGCCAGAGAAATAGAGGATGTTGCGCTCCAGGTCTCACCTGGCCTCCTCCACCCTCTCCAGTACCAGTCTCCTCCGCGTCCCGGTTCTCTCCCAGGCCCCGCCCCCTCTTCCCTCCGGTCTAGCTCACAGGTGGGTGGCTCCGACCTCTAGGTGAGAGGAGGGGCAGGAGCGTGTTGGGAGAAAAGTCCCGCCTCCTTTGTCCGTTCCGCGCTCTCATTGGCCAGTGTAGGCAGGCTGGGCCGACCGAGGCCCCGCCTCGATTTTCTGTCCAATCCTATATCCAGGGGGCGAATTCAGGTCGGCCCCAGCAGTTGCAGGACCACGAGGTGGGAGGGAGGGAGGGAGGGAAGGGGAGGGGACCGAGGGACTGGAGGAGTGGAGGTCCTGGGAACCTGGAGAGGGAGACGCCACCAGCACCGCTGCAGAGCAGCGGGCGAGCCCTGGAGGTTGCCCCTCGGACCCGGGCCCAGTCATCCTACGCCTTCTTTCTTCACCCCTCGGTCCCTAGAAACATGGGTAGCTTGAGGCAGCGCTTCCAGAGGTTCCTGGAGCAGAAAAACATTATCACTGATGTCCTGGGGAAGCTGGAGGAGATCACCGGTATCAAAAAGTACTATCTGGCTACAGGTAAGGCCCTCCGGAGTTCTCTTCTCCAGATAGAACCTTAGCGTTCAGAAATCGAAAACCTTCGTCTCATTCCTCATATTGCAGATGAGGAAACGAATGCCCAGTGAGATAAAGGGACTTCCCCAGGTTATGCAGAAAAGACTAGAACCCGAACCTCCTAGTTCCTGGTAGGGATCTTTATGGAAACAGTTGTACATCTTGCTACCCTTGATAATTTTTATTCCCTGTCCTCTCTTCACCATCTCACAAACTTCCCCTCTCCCCCACCTTCAATTAACTGGCTTGGAATGTCATGGATTGGGGGTTGATCTGCTGCTACTGTCCCACGGAGGTAGCTGGAAAAGTTCCAGCATCACCCCCAGATTCCAGTACCACCCAAGGGGGCAAGTGGGAGGTAGGGGAGTATTCCCTTGTATTTATAGGAGTTGGAGCTTGAAGAGACCTATTCTAGTACTCAGGACCTCAAATCACACGACTGTAGAATATTAGATCCAGAGGGGAACCTTAGAACACAGAACCACAGAAGTGGGAAATGATCTGGGGCCATCTAGTCCAGCTGCCCCTCTGTTAATGGAGGGGGAAACCAACCCTTGCCCAAAGTCACACAAAGGCCAGAAAGATTGGGGGAGGGGAGGGGAGGGCAGTGCCTGAGGCTAAAGCAGCTTAGGCGGGGGAAAAGGTGGACCTGAGAGGTGGGGCGGGTAGGTGGCTACCAATAACTAGCCTTTGGTCCATTATGGAGCAGATTAGCCTCCTAAGGACACCTTCCTCCCAGACAGGACTATTTCTCTGTTCTCAGGACCCTTCTAGGAGTTTCCTGGGCCCATCTGGGGAGCCTCGCTTGGTGGGGGAGGAGTATTACATCATCTTGCCCTTTGATATCCCCCAGCTCTTGGACTTTGAGAGTGCTGTGCCAGGCACATTCTGGGAGAGGCCATGTTGAAAGTGTGGCTTGGGCACTCGTAGGTCCACTAAGCCTGGGGCCAGGCTCTCCCTCCCCCTGGTTGGGGGGAGATCCCCAGATTATCTCTTTCTGGTCCTTCCAGTTGCTTGGTCTGCTCTGGGGCAAGGGGGAGGAGGTGGCTGGCAGCGTGGGGCAGAGCACAGAATGGTTCTGCTGCTTTTGTGCAAGGCCCTGGCAGACAGCCCTAGGGGCCAACAGCCTGGGAGGCAGGGCCAGCAAGTTCGAGTTTGATCCCTGACTAACTAGGCTAAGGGTGATTCCAGTTCATATCAGCTTTGGGGAGCGTTTCCAATATTCCCCCCCTCTCCCTCCTGGTGCCTCTGATACTTAGTGTAACCCTGACTGACCCAGCTTTTAATTAAATTTGTAAAGCTCTCAATTGAGCTTCTCTGTAGGTGGCAGGATGGACAGACCATGGGGCCTAGAGTCAAGAAGACCTGAGTTTGAATCTGCCCTCGGACACTTACTAGCTGTGTGACCTTGGGCAAGTCATTTAACCTCTGTCTGCCTCAGTTCCCTCATCTGTAAAATGGAGATCTTAATAGCACCTCTCTGCCAGGGTTGCTGTGAGGATCAAAATCGAAAACATCTGTAAAGCGCTTTGTAAATTAAAACTCTATATAAATGTTAGTAGCTACTTGTTATATGTAAATTCATAGATTGTAAGAGCCAGAAGAGACCCTCATTTGGGGTTTTCGTGGCAAAGATACTGGAGTGGTTTGCCATTTCCTTCTCCAGCTCAGTTTGCAGATGAGGAAACTCAGGCCAACGGGGTAAAGTGACTTGCCCTGGGTCACACAGGCAGTTAGTGTCTGAAGTTGTATTTGAACTCTGGTCTTCCTGACTCCAGGCTCAGTACTCCATCCAGTGCCACCTAGCTGCCCTAGAAGAGACCACATTTACTTATCTCTGTACAGGTTTCTTTATCTAGTAGAATGGAAGCTCCTTGAGAGCAGGTTGTTGAATTAAATGGAATATAGTCCAACGCCTTCCCCCCAGTTTTCAGAGGAGGAAAAAAACTGAGACCCAGGAAAGTGAAATATCTTATTCATGCTTACCCATCTCCCTCAGATGATCACGATGTCGATGAGGATAATAGTAATAACCGAAGAAGGTATAATGGCTAGAGCACTGGACTTGTAATCTGGAAGACTTGGCTTCAGTTGCTGCCTCTGATGCTTAATAATGGTTAACTGTGGCCAGCTGTGCTCACCTCTCTGTGTCTTCTATGAAACAAGGGTAACTTCACTGGGTTGTTGTGGGGCTCAGATGAGATATAACAAGTATGTAAAGGCACTTGGAAACCTTGTTCAGTTTAGCAAGTTTTTTTTTTTCCCAGCCAAAGACAAGGTTTATTAAAGATCCTCCATATTAGTGAGACTCTTGAAGAACCTGAGAGTCCATGAGGTATTGGCTAGATTCTAAGAATCTGAGCCCATAGCAAGGTTTTTAAAGTGCTTTGTTATACTTGGTTATTTCATAATCAAACTTCAACCTGCAGTGAGGCAGATGTTATCCTCCCCATTTTACACATGAGGAAACTGAAGCTCAGAGTGGCTTGCCTCTGATCACCCAGATAGCAAGTGGCAGAGGGGGCATTTGAACCCAGGATGTATTCACTCCAAGCCTAGCCACTCTTTTCAGTACCCCAAGATACTGAGGTCCACCTGTTCCACTTAGAGATGAGAAAACTGTAGCCCACAGAGTAGGGATGATTTGTGCAAAGCCATACCCTCAGTCATCAGGACAATTCTGCAGCCAGGCAAAAGTCACTATTTCACTCCCCACAGAAACTATTTTCTTTCTTCAAGCCTCCTGACTCCTTCCCCAACCTCTTCACTGAAGACCTTGCTTCTTACATTTCTGAGAAAAGTGAGGCCATTTGCCTTGATTCCCCTCCTTTTCTTTATTTAAACACCACCACAACTGACACCACCTCACCCCCCACCCCCACCCCTGCCCCAGCCCTTGACATCATTCCCCACTCTTGCCTCTTTTTCTCCAGGCTCTGACAAAGAAGCAGCCCTTCTCCTTGCCTGGGCCAACTGTTCTACATGTATATTTGATCCCATCTCCTTCCATCTTTACCAGCAGGTTGCTCCTTCAATTGTCTCCAGCCTCTTCCTAATTTTATATCTCTTCCTATCTTCTTGTTCCTTCCCTGCTGCCTTTAAGCATATTTGTCTCCCCATCCTTGAAAACAAAAACAAAAAACAAACAAAAAAAACTTCCCTACACCTTGCCATCTCCTCAAGCCTATGATATTATATGTCTCATCTCTTCCTCAGCCAGACCCTTAGAAGAAACTGTCTACGTTCCTTGCCTTCACGTCTCTCTTTTCTATCCACAGCCCTTTGCAATCTGACTTCTGCCTCATCAGTCAACTGAAATTTCTCAGTGCAAAGTTAGCAACTATCTTCTAATTGCCAAAATCTGATGATCTTTTCTCGACTCTCATCCTTTTTGGCCTCTGTGCTGCATTTGAAACTGTCACCCAAAGCCTCTTTGAGTTTTTGTGATGCTACTCCCATCCTGGTTCTTCTACCTGTCTGAACAAACCAGGGGTGGGGAACCTTCTCAGACTTCTTTGCTCTATCATCATTCGTGTTCTGTCCACTAATTGTGGGTATTCCTCCAAGGCTCTGTCCTGAATCCCTTTTCTCTTTTGTTTTTTTTTTCTTTTCTTTTTAGGCAGTTAGGGTTAAGTGACTTGCCCAAGGTCACACAGCTAGGAAGTGTCAAGTGTTTGGTCTGAGGCCGGATTTGAACTCAGATCCTCCTGACTTCAGGTCCGGTGCTCTATCCATTGTGCCACATAGCTGCCCCCTGAATCCCTTTCTCTTGATAGACTCTGTGTGATCTCGATGAATCCCTCGAGCTATCTATTGCCCATTTCATATCCTGTAGACATCCCAAACACAACCCATCCAAAACAGAACTGATTCTCTTCCCTCCCAAACCCACCTCTCTTTCCCATTTTCTATCAAAAGCCCCACCATCCTCCAGACTTTCATGACCTCAGTTATCATCTTTGATTTCCCACTCTTCCCACATATCCATTTAATCAATCCCAAATCTTGTCATTTCTATCTCCACAGCATTTCTAGAAGCTGGCCCTCTTTCTCAGACAGCTCAAATTCTTTTCACCCCTTGCCTAAAGACTATTGCAAAAGCCTGCTGATCAGTCTCCCTGCCTCAAATCCATCTCCCCTCTAATCCATATTGCACACAACTGCCAAAGTGATTTTCCTTAGCCCAGATCTGACCTATTTAATAAACTCCAGGGGCTATCTCTTGCCTCTAAGATGATGATATCTATTCCACTCTAGCTTTTAAAGCCCTTCACAGCCTGGCTCCAATCTATCTTTCCAACCTCATTATATATTAATCCCCTCCCTCCACAGGTCAGCCAAACTGGCCTTCCATGGCAATCCACTCATCTCCTTTCCTTTACGCTGACTATCTCCTGTACTTGGCATTCACTCTCCCCTCAGCTGCACAGAATCCTTCTCTTCTTTTTTTTTTTTTAACCGAAGACAAGGTTTATTAGAACAGCCATCATATTGGGCAGACTCTTAAGGAATCTGAACATTACTGAGCTATTGGCTAGATTATAAGACTCTGAGCACCTTAATAGAGACAAGATGGACCTTATATACAGAAAGACTGTGGGAGAGATCTAGAAGTGGCAAGTAGTCTACAAGGACTGTGAGGTAATAGAATGCCAGGGACCTGGACCATGAGGTCAACTAGGATTAAAGGTGGGAAGTGGCCGGGGGCCTTGGGGAGGTAAAACAGTGGAGGGCTAGGCTAGGTTAAGGATAAACAATTGGGAGATTTGGCTTTAGCCTCTGTGAAAGGCCAGTTGATGGGATTATAGCTTCAGGCGAACTCCAGAGATTTGGCCATATAGGAAAGTCTAGGGTTTTTCTTTTTGGGGTCCAGATCCCATCCTCATCATTCCCCCCTCAAACAAATGGGACCCAAATTCTTTTGGGGTAAGGGGTGAAGGTCTCGGCTTCTGAAACTGCTTCCT